ACCCGTCACTAGTGAAAAGCCGTATTTCACTTTGAGACGCAGGTTTCCAGTCACGTTGGCCACCGCCTAGGGGTCTTTGCTTGTTGAGCAGAAGTTCAAATTTCGATGGGGAGCACTTGAGACCGGTGGGACGGAGGAAACGTTCGGTCACGTCGATTGCGTGCTGCATGGCTTCCTCAACTTGACCGTCGCTCCCGCCGGTGCACCAGATGGTTATATCATCTGCGTAGATGGTATGATTGATTCCTTGAATCATCGCGAGTTCCTTGGAGAGCCCGATCATCGCGATGTTAAATAGTGTTGGTGAAATAACTGAGCCCTGAGGCGTGCCACGTGAACCGATGTTGATCTCTCGTGAGAAGTACCCTTCGATCTTGAGCTTCGTAGTTCTCTGGTAAAGAAAGGATCTCACGATGTCGTAGACCCTCTTCCCTAGCCCTAGGCTGGCAATAGTCTGGAGAATGAATTCGTGAGAAACGTTGTCGAAAGCCTTCTCCATGTCTAATCCAAGGATGGCTCTGGTATCTCCTGTGCTTCGGTCGATGATCTGATGCTTTATCAGCTTCATGGCATCCTGTGTCGAGAGACCAGCTCTGAAACCAATCATATTGCGGGTGTACATGTCATTGGTCTCGAAATGCACCTTGAGTCGGTTCAGAAGGGCGTGCTCTGCGACCTTACTGACGCAGGAAGTTAAGGAAATCGGTCTTAGATTATCTATTCCTGGTGCTTTACCAGGTTTCGGGACTAGAACTGTGTAGGCCGTCTTCCATTGTGCGGGAACCTCCCCACTGCGCCTCACCTCATTAATCTTTTCCGTAAAGAACTCGATGGAGTCATCATCAAGGTTCTTGAGCATCTTATTGGTTATGCCATCAGGGCCAGGGGTGGATTTGGCATTTAGGGAAAAGAGAGCCTGCCGTATCTCGGCCACAGTATAGTCCTGGTCCAACTCCGGCACGTCGCACCCCGCGTAGTCCGGAAAGTGTGTGGGTGTAGAGCTATCCGCGACTCGCAGATGCCTGTTTATAAGCTTGTTGACAACCAATTCGTCCGGGGTAGAGTCAGTAGCAAGATAGATAGCTCGCGCGAGGGATCGCCTCTGACTGGACCTGGTGCTGCCCTGATCGAGAAGGTGTTTGAGAAGACCCCAGCTCTTCCCAGATCTGAGCTGACCCTCGATGCTCTCACAGAGCTCATGCCATTGTTGTTTACACAAGGTTTTGCAGTGCTCCTCGATCGCCCTGTTAACCTCGGAAACCTTCTTGCGGAGCCTCCTGTTATGCTTCTGTTCCTTCCACCTCGTGAGTAGGGCTTGCTTGGCTTCTAGTAGGTGTGCCAACCTGCTGTCCATGTTTTCAACATCGAGGTCAGTGACGACCTCCTTGGTCCCCAGCCGTCGGTGCTCTCTCAGCTCTGACTTCGCGAAAAGCGTCCCAGTCGACCACCTTGAATTTTTTCGTCCTAAAGCGGGCAATCGCGAAGGATACCTCGATGATGTAGTGGTCACTTCCGAGGTCTAGAGCCGTGTTGACCCATTTGACCCCGTCTATATTCTTCACAAAAGTCAGGTCCGGGGTGGCACCCCACAAATGGAGTTACCTCTCCTAGTGGGGAAATCCTTGTCAGTTAGAAGCGTCAAGTCGGCTTCTGTCGCAGTTTGCCATAGCTCGCGTCCTTTTGGGGTATCATACATGTATCCCCACACGCTGTGTGGGGCGTTGAAATCCCCTACAACTACAAGGGGCTAACCACTGGCCATGCTCACAGCGCTTTTGAGGAGAGAGTTTGCTCTCGCCCTGCGATAACTGGGACTGCAGTATACGTTGAGAGTAAAAAGGCTATTTCTTCGAAGACCCTTCTTGGGTGAGTTCCTTATAGTTTCAGTCATTACGTACTCAATGCCATCGGCAACTGCACCGAGGTCACGCGATAGCTAATTGTACCTTTTGCTGATAAGTGTGGCAACTCCCCTACTTCCTGAATGTGATGACGCTACTAGGTAACCCGGGATTTTGATGGGGGTGCCAGACGCAACTTCCTGAACAGCAATGATTTGAGGCTTAACATCGAGAGTTCTTGAATATTGCTGTAGAATGGGCTTTTTGTGAGTAAACCCGCCACAGTTCCATTGCCAGATTCTGAAGTTTTCGTCCACACTATCCACGTTTAGGCTGAGGGGATGGTTGAGCAGCTATAGCAGCCCGAAGGATCGCACCCTCGGTCGGTGGCGCTAGTACATTGCGTTGTGCTGGGACGTGCAAAGGAGTCGGACCGGGGTCTCTCCTCGCATCGACCTCTTCTAACTTGCTTATGCATTCACTCAGTGCTCCTAATCCCATCTTTGGGTGCGCCACAGCTTCTTGAATTTTCGCTAAGGTAGTCTGCATGTTCACAAAGGAAACCTTTAGTTCCGACAATAAGTTTACCGCCTCTTCTTCTTGTGTGTTCTCAACCGCTCGGCGCTTAGTTCTGCTAGGCCTATGAAGTGCCTCAGACGTATCCATGGTGACCGGGGTTGGGGCGGGCTGCACCGAAGGGGGCGAGGACGCGAACTTTCTAATCTCCGCCATCTCCGCTGCTAGCCGTCTCATTTTTTGCTTGAGCTGCGCGTTTTCTTTCCTCAGCTGCCAGTTAGTTTGTCGCATCTCGTCGAGCTCACTGGCGTGGGGAGAACCGCGATTCGATTCGTCGCCTCTAGGAGACTCACGTCTTCCTCGGGCTTTGTCGGCCCAGGAGAGCGTCGGCTTCTTGCTGTTAGAGGTGGTGGGCGTGCGGGAGCGGGACCTGGTCGGCCCCGACGAAACGTGCCCCGGCTTTGAGTTGGAGCGAGGCTGAGACGTGGAACTTCCCCGGGCACGTTCTGTCGACCTGGAGCGCGAGCCGGAACATCCCTTGGAGGCACCACGGCGCCTGCATCCGGAGCGGCCTCCCGAGCGTCCCCTGGAACGGGGGCGTCCTCTGCGCTGAGCATCCGTGGTGGGTGACGAAGACTGGAACTCGTCCGCAGTGTCGAGGTGACGTTGCGGGGACGGTGACGCAGCACCAGCCATTATGGCACGCTCACTGCGACGACAGCGCACAATGTACGGGATCTTGAACCTTTGAGCACAGTCTTTGCTAGCCGTGAGATGCTGGCCACCACAGAGTTTGCACTTGGGAGTACACACAATTTGCTTGTCAGGGCTTGCGGCACCACAGCCTCGGCAAATCGTGTCACCGGGAGTGGGGCACACGTCAGCGCGATGACCAAGACGGCCGCACGCATAACACACGTCGATCTGCTTGCAGTAAAGTGAGCACTGCATCAGCACTGGTCCATACCTGACAAAGTTCGGTACACGATACCCGTCGAAAGCGATGATGACCGTGCCAGTTTGGGCTATTCTCTTGGCTGCTCAGATGCGATTCTCTTCGCATCGACGACGTCAGGGCCGTCTTGAAGTGGTACATTGCGAATCACCCCTTTGCAAGTGGAGTGGGGGGCAGTCTCATAGGCACTTAGCTCGTGCACCTTGCCTGAAATGAGTATTTGCTTCATCCGAACGTATGGGTCTGCGTTTTCGCGCCTGGGAGTACTGGCAACCATAATATTTTGCTGCAGATTCGGGTATAGAGTATCCTGGCACAAATCTTCCTGGCTTATGCCAGCGGCAACTAGTATTACGTCAGCCACCGTATCTGCGCCAATTTTCGAGATATTGAGTCCACCTCTCGGCCGGATCACAATCTTGATGTCATCTTGAGGAAGGGAAGGCATCTTTTCCGCGCGTATTACTTTGGACTTCAGCGCAGCGCCTCTCCATTTGCCGCGGCGTGCGCCCGGCTGCGACGATGGCGCGTTAGAGTCAGCAGTGCGTGTTTTGGCGCCAGCTCTTCTGGCCCCAGTGGACTGCCAACCTTTATCTTGAGTAAACTCTTCTTCACATCGTGCGACGAAAAAATGCTCCGCATTTAAAATGACTGCTCGCGCTGCACAACTTTTCGCAGGCCACCCCGTATATATAGGCACTGTATATAGATCTCCAAAGTAATGCTGGTGGAATATTTCTGTTGAACAATAAAAATTCGCAGCATGCAGGGCAACTAAAAGTGCACCGCGGATCTCTGTCTTCACTCGAAGTCGTCTGTCTGTCATTGCCCATTAGCAGCGATTGGCATGTTTCAGTGGGAAACAACGGTCCATCACTGCGTGCTTTACGCCCTTCGAGGTTTCTCTGCAGCGCAACGACGCGATGAGCACCAGCGTCAACGTCACCGCAAGTGTAAGCTTTAGCCACGCTGCTTCGCATCTACACGTTTCCCTGTAACTGGAGATGTATTTTTTCTCTTTTCGCAATATGAACCACACATACCTTTTCTTGACACCCGAGTTGGTAGTACTACTATCATTGCACGCTTGAACCACAACGTTTTCTGGAACGTGTTATTCTAGTGGTTCTAGCCGGGCGAGTATTTTTGCTTTCAATTACAATGCACTGGGTCCAGGGTGAGCACGTCAACCTGTCCGTCAAGGTGACAGGTTTCTTCCTCATTTTTTTATTTTTTCACGGGTGTATTGTTTCTGTCATAGCCGTATCAGTAAGCACATTATGAAGAACTTCTGTATTGGTGTTTTAGTCTCAAGTTAACTGACTGTTATCAGACAGTTACGTCATTTTATCTTCGTGATGCCCGTTCCCTCAGATTCAGGCTATGATGCCAATTGTTGCCTTTTTTTATCTCCTCTTATTCATGTTTTCCTCTGAGTGACCAGAGCATGGGTGTCATGCGATCGAAAATTCTCGAACTGGGTGAGCCAACGTTTCAAGGAGTGGTGCAGTGTTCTACAAGGCTACAACTCTTGCAGCGTCGAAGACAGCAGCACTTGTCGAAACCTTGGATTCAGCTCCACCCCGTGCTCATACAATTTTTTCATCGCTTTCAGCTTGCGTTTTCAACTAAACTTTCTTCTTATCTGAACGTGCTTTTCGTATCACGGATACACATTTACATCCCAGGCCATTCTCCGGCGCGCCCTGGGCTCGAGCGCCAGCTGTCTGGGCCTGATGAAGAAGGGCGTGGACAACGTGGCTTTTTTCCTAAGCTCTCTGGGCAAGCTGCACACCCTGGGAGTCCAGCTGGACTTGGCTCCGTTGTACCCGCCAGTACCGTGGCCGCTGCCACGTGGCACCCCGAACATCGGCCATCTAGTCAGCTGGGACCACTCGCAACAATGGAACGTCGTCTCCTGGAGCGACTTCCCGACGTTGTCGCAGGTGCGGTCCGGTGCAACCTAGTTATCACCACAAACGGTCCTCACATCACCAGTTTTAGCAATGGCGACACTGTGAACCAATCAGAGAGGGCGTGCGATCCATCCGGGCCAATAGGAATAGCCGAGGAGGTGCCAACAATAACACGGGATTCATCCAGAATATCACTGTTTTTAAAGAAGTTCGTTCAGATTCTGTGCGTATTATCCCATCATTGCCAGGAGTAACAAGCCTTGTTCGGAGAGAAACCAACTTCCATGTAGTTCTGAACTAATGCTCTTAGGAGCAGCTGATAAAGATTTTCAAGAGTACTTCGACGCCCACGTGTCACGTACATATCAGCGAGCTCACTGACCAATTCCAGTTGCTATACTGCATTTCCCAACGAGGAAAGTATTTTTATATATAATGTTCAATATATAATCTTGTGTGGTTATTGAAGATTGGAGCGATTGCGATAGAGCTTATTGAGATTCTTTAAAACGTCCCATAGTTGTCTGATTTGAGTGAACCAACGGCCAAAGCACATGCACTTTGAAAAAAAATCGAAATAGTAAATAAACAAATAAAAAATAAAAAGCAGCTAAAGAGAAACACTAGCAGCGCGTGTTTCTGCTCCGTCTGTGTCGTCCGTTCCACCCGTCACAATGACTCTTGGCTAGCAGTTCTTTGCCGAACGTTTGTTGTAGGTTTCCGAAGAGGTTATCGAGGTGGACCTGGAGTCCAACGAAGGCGACGCCTACATAGCCGGTCACCAGCTTGACGGCCGCGTGTTGTTCCCCGCTACCGGCTACATGGTCCTGGCCTGGAAGTCCCTCACCAAACGCTGCGGCAAGCCGTTCGACCAGGTGCCCGTGGTCTTCGAGGACATCACTCTGCACAGGGCCACCATCATACCAAGGAGCGGTAGGTGTAGCGTGAGAAGGCTTTCGTAGCAGAAAGGTCAGCCAATAGGCACCCTCCTTTTTAGCGGGTGTCGTAGCGCTCCCCCCCCTCCCCGTGCGCTCGCCTTTGCCTACCGAGATATCAGTAAACGAGCATGTTGTTAATGATCCAGCCGAAATTTCAATCCAATTCATTCATTATTTTCACTCTGTATTTACTCATGGGGATCATACTGACTCAAATAATAGGTCTCTTCCTGCCATATCGGCCGATTTCATAAGAGTCGAAGATGCCCTTTCACTGTTAATTAAGGTTAAGACTAGATCATCTGATGGTCCAGATGGTATACCAAACATATTTCTGCACCGTTACGATGAACATATTGCGCATATTTTCACTTATCTTTTTCGCCTTTCTTTTCGGGATTCAATTCTTCCCGATGAATGGCGAACGGTGCGTGTTCATCCTGTTTTCAAGAAAGGTAATCACCTGCATGTTGAAAACTACCACCCTATATCATTAACTTGCGGTTCAGGTAAACTTTTTGAGCACATCATCACGCATTACATAATGTCATTTCTTGAAGAAAGCAGTATTTTGACACCTTTTTCACATGGTTTTAGGAAAGGCCTCTCGACCACCACCCAACTCGTCACCACTATTCATGATTTCGCAATAGCACTTGATAAGGGCGACCAAATAGACGCCATATTCTTAGACTTTAGAAAAGCGTTCGACTGTGTCTATCACGGTAAACTACTCACGAAACTTTCAAACATTGGCTAACCTATTAACATAATTCAGTGGATTCGCTCTTACCTCACCAGCCAAAAGCAGTTTGCTCAGGTCGTAGGCTGCATCTCTGGGGTTTTGCCAGTAACCTCGGAAGTTCCCCAGTGCAGCGTCTTAGGCCCTGCCTTGTTTCTCATCTTTATCAATGATATCATTTCAACGGTTGATACCTTAGCCATAAGCCTAAAATTTTTGCAGATGACTGCACTCTTTACAAGACAATCAATAGTGAAAGAGATCAAGAGTGCTTCCAGAACAACATCAATTCTCTCTGCGGTTGGTGCGATACTTGGTCGATGGAGTTAAACATTACTAAATAGGTCTTTATGCGAATTTCAAATAAAATTAGTCAATTTACGTTGCGGTACACATTGAATTATAATTGCTTGATCGAAGGGAACAATACTAAATGCTTGGGAGTCAAAATTACCAATCAGCTGTTGTAGAGCAACCATATTGGCTGGCACTTGTTCCTCCGCCTCTAGCAAACTAGGGTTTCTAAGATACAAACTAAAAAAATGCGCCACCACAAATAAAACTTTTTGCGTACTGTACATTTATACAACCCCATCTTGAATACGAATGCATGGCCTGGGACCCACATTTTAAAAAAATACATTTAAGAACTTGAAAAAGGTCCAGAGAAGGGCGGTAAAATTCATTTATAATGCCTATCACAATTATGATTCACCTTAATCACTCATGGCTACAATTAACATACCACTTTTGAAACAGCGTAGAGCTATTGGCAGACTCAAGTTTATTTTCCTTCTTCCAAATCGTCGGTTTAATATCGATCCTCATGAATACCTATCTCCGTCTTCTTCCAGACAACCCGGACACAATCACAATCGTGATCTGACACCATACTTCGGACGTACTAACCTTTTGAAACACTCCTTCTTTCCACGAACCATTCCTGACTTTGTGAAATCCATGCATCTTTTTGCTTAGCCAACATTGTTGATACCTTGCTGTACAACGTCATCTCATGAGTTCAGTTGTGTTGCGTTACTTCTTTGCTTAAGATTGTCTCCGGCAATTTATGCACTTTTTTCTTCTTTCTAGAAGCATATGTTCAATTCACTCTTCTTAGTACGTGTCTGTTTTTCAGTTATTGCGTAGGATAGTAAGAAAAATTTTGCTGTACAAACCTGTTCTCTTTGTTTTCACTGTGTTCCCTTTATTTCGCCCATCCTGCTTGATCTATCGGGCTGAAGTATGAAAAAAAATGGCAGCATATTCACGGAGTGAATGATGGAGAGTGGGGCGAAGCATCCGTCCGTCCATTCGTTTTTGCTTCCATCCGTCTATGCGTCCGTCCGTGTGATCGTCCATGCGTCCATCCGCCCGTCACTGCGTGTGTCTGTTCGTGCGTCCGCACGTCCATCTGTGCGTCCGTCCCTGCGTTCGTCCATGCATCCGCCCCTGCGTCCGTCCATGCGCTCATCCGTCCGTGCAGCCATCCGTGCGTCCGTCCATGCATCTGTCTGTGTGTTCTTTCGCTTCGTGTCTACTTCCCACCTTTAACCACCTCGAGTTCATGGTATATACTAGTTCAATGTATTCATGGCACTGCAGCCCAACGCTCGCTAAACCTTTCTAAAACCAAGGAGGTTACGCCCAGCGAGTATAACGTAGCAACCCTTTTTTGTCAGATAGCGCTCAATGTACATGCCAGTGGCTGCCAAAGGGGAACGAGAGACAGGAGAATTCGGCTTTTAGTTCACGCGCACGCTGTGAATTTTTTATTGTTCAACAACGCACAGGAGAAATATCCCACCAGCATCACCTTGCAGGTCAAAACGTAAGACTCGTTACACGCTACGACTACGACTACTACGAGGGACGAACGGGTGCCACTTCAAGGAGCTTCGCCCCTAAAAAAACATTACAACAGCGCTGGAATGCATGGCGTATACCGCCGCGGTGATATAGTCTCAACCACACCAGTCGAGCATACGGCTGGGGACGCTGGCACCGACAGCAGCTGCTACCACGCGTGAGCTACAAGCATCCGTTCGTGCTCTCAATAAGAACACAGGGACCAATGCGGTATGACTGTTGCATATCATTACGATTTCATACTACGCCTATTTTTCCAAAAAAATGGCAGTATCATCCACACTGCACAGTGCTCGGCTGCTGGCACGATGGGTTTCGGATGTATTCCGGTCACGTCGGTCACATTTCAATGGAGGATGGACGCTGGAGAGAACCGTGTTCTTCTATTTAGGTACACGTCAAGGAAACCCAAGTGATAGCAATCTCCCTCTACTGGTACGCACCCCGTAGCAATATTGGAGGTTTGGCTGGTGAAACAGTTATTGTTTGAAGCGAATGAAATGGGCGAAATCGGATAGGCTTGGTAAACACTCTCCCTAACACCGAGTTTCTGATCATGTATACAGTGCCCTTACCCTGAAAGCTTGCAAGTGCTCATGCGCAGCATGCGATAAACAATGTGCCTTCAAGCAGGTTTATAATAATATAGGTTTCACGTGTGAAAACCATAATGTACTTATGCGGCATGCCACAGCACAGGGCTCGGAAACTTTTGTCCCTCTGTTGTCACTTTATATACGAAGTGTCTCTTGACGGGAAGGGTACCAGAATCCTAGGAAAACGCCAACATCATTTTAAACCATAGTAAAAGAGACGTCGAATATTTTGGATGTTAGAGGCCGATCAGCTTAGTGTCCGTTCTCTACAAACTATTTATAACAATAATAGGTAATAGAATTAAGGCGACATTAAGGTTTAATCTGCCAAAGGACCAAGCAGGGTTTCGTATAGGCTCCTCCACGATATACCATATTCATACCACCAAACAAGTAACAGAGAAATGCGCTGAATACAACCAACCCCTATACAAAGCTTTCATAGATTACGAGAAGGTGTTTGTCTCAGTCAAGACATCAGCAGCAATGCAGGCACTATGGAATCAGGGCATTGGCGAACCCAACATAAACATACTGAAAAAAATTACAGTGTATCCACAGCCAATTTTTCTCCGTAAAGAGAGCGACAGAATCCCATTAAAGAAGGGTGTAAGGCAGGGAGACACAATCTCTCCAATGCTATTCACCGCGTTTTTACAGGAGGTTATTATGGTCCTAGACTGAAAGAGTTAGGGATAAGAGTTAAGGGAGAGTATCTTAGTGACCTGGGATTCGTGATGACATTGTCTGGATGAGTACCTCAGGGGACGAATTACTGAACTGGACACGGAAAGCAAAAGGGTAGGTCTGAAAATTAGCATGCACAAAACTAAAGTATTGTGCAACAATCTCAGCAGAAAACCTCACTTTGCGATAGGAGGAGACACGCTAAAATTTGTGCAAGAATATGTCTACTTAGAACAGGTAGAAATCGCTCAGCCGAACCAGGAGAGTGAAATAACAAGAAAAATAAGAATGGGGTGGATCACATTAGACAAGCATTCTCAAATCATGAATAGTAATCTGCCACTAACCCTGAAGAGGAAGGTATATAACAGCTGCATCTTGCCGGTACTTACCTACGGAGCAAAAACCTGGAGGCTTACAAAGAGGGTTCAGCTTAAATATGAGAGCGACGCTGTGAGCGATGCAAAAGAAAATCATAGGTGTAGCCTTAAGAGACAAGAAGAGAGCAGAGTGGGTCAGGGAACAAACCGCGGTCATAGATATCATTGCTTAAATCCAGAAGCAGAAATGGGCATGGGACCAGCACGTAGCACGTAGACAAGATAACCGCTGGTCATTAAGGGTAACTGACTGAATTCCCGGAGAAGGCAAACGCACGAAGGGGGGACAGAAAGTTAGGTAGGCCTATGATATGAAAACGTTCACGCGTATAACGTGGCAGCAAAAAGCACAAGACCGGGCAGAATGGCGGATCATTGAAAAGGCATTTGCCCTGCAGTGGCCGTAGTCAGGCTGATGATGATGATGATCATGTTCTTAAATGTGCTCTATCGCACGGTACACGGGCCGCTAGGATTTGCCCTTCATGAAAACGCCAACACGGCAAGTAGAGTCAAACCCCCCAACCTTCGAGTCTGCATCCGAGCATGATAACCACAGTACTACCATACCAGATTTCACCTCAAGGTGCGTGGCACCGTGTATTAGGAAACCACTGATTTCCTTTTTGGCCGAGTTACGAGCCCTCACCATGCCAAGACGAAGACAATGACAAGAACTCATATAGCGCTTTCATGAAGTAACAAAACGCACTGGAGGCAAAATGATGCTTTTTTGTATTTTGTGTCTCAGTGTGATTATCTCTCTAATATAGGCTAAACAGTTACTCGGTACCTTAAGCATTTACCTAAAATAACTTGAAAACCAAAGTCATCTTCTCCTACTTCATCTCGGTCTATTTTATTGATCGCATATCAGTGCGCTTAGCGTTTGAAATAGGTCACATTACCGGATAGCTCTAACCCAGACCCGGTCTTCTACCTGGTATCTGTGAAGGCTCTGTGAAGTTCCTCGTGAACATCATGCGCGCCTCTGGCGACTTCGAGGTTTGTGAGGCTGGCACTGTGGCTGCGAGTGGCCGCATCCGCACGGCCGAAAAAGGCGAGAAGCTTCTGGAGAAGGAACCCCCGGGGCCACCTGCAGAGACCGTCACCTACGAGCTCCAGGCCGACGACATCTACAAGGAGCTTAGGCTTCGGGGCTACGAGTATTACGGCAGTTTCCGGGGCATCATCAAGGCTGACCTCAACAGTAAGTTATAACGCAATAGAACTTTAATTCTTTCGCAGAAATTCCTGCGTCGGCGTCGGCATCGGCAGTGGTTGTGAGTGAAAAATGGTCATCTTGTGCGTCACTGAAAAATCGAGAAAAATGTAGAATAAATTAATAATAAAATAATTCGACGTCTGAGTGGGGATTGGACCTGTTCGTTTTCGTGGCAAGCGGGTGTTCTGTACCACACATCCAAGTGTCTGCTTACGAAAGCAGTAAAAATAACCTCCTCTGCTTCGAAATGCACTGAAAATAACAATCATGTTTGCAAACACATGTGTCCTGTGTTCATACTTCACAATAGAAGATGCGCTAATGTGGTACAAGCGTATATTGTCATCGGGTGTCAGAGCATGTAATTATCATAATGACTACAGTTTCAGTTTAGTTTCAGTTTGTTTTTATTTAGCAATCTTTTTCGACAATCGTGTTAAAGGACAATATTAAAGTTACACTTATTTGATGTTTTTATACAATGACAACGGTCAACACAAGACTATGCAAATCAGATTAAAAAATCAGAAAGATGCAAGGACAGGAATTAATTGTTTGATTGATATCAAGAAATTAACATTCTAAAACCAAAGGACAGGAATTAAAAGCTGCTATAAAACAGCTTGACGAGATTCCTGACCCGGTCTTCACGGTTTAAACCCGGTCACCCACTTCACAAGGCACACACGTTACGGCGCAAATTCCCTTTAGGCCACGTAGTGAGGTCCATAGCAAGTACGAAAATATTTCATGCACCAAGTGTCTGAACTACGCACTAAGGACAGGATATCGCTATAGCTTTCAACCTTTAATGGAAAAGCTTTAAAGATCCCCTCATTTTTTTATTTCTAGTTTAGATACTCACTTATCATGAACTTCGTTGCACACAGCCTGAAAGTTCATGTCTGCTGCAGCTGACACAACGTTGCTTGAATGTAGTTTTTGCAGTGTTTAGAAAAGCGTTGGTTTCTGTAGCACTTGACGAGATGGAAACCGAGCACAGTGTAGGTTTCACGAAAATGTCACTGGCAAATGACGACATTGTGATGGGTTGGCACAAAATTTAGAAAGGGATGTTTGCTCTAGCAGTGTAAAGTTTAAGAGAGAGAGGGAAGTCAGTTGATCTTAAGGACTTAACGTAACCTTCTTGGGTGATACTAAGTCTTTCCATGGAGTAGACAAACTAGAGTCGAGTCACAGATCATGCAAGAATGTTCAAACTCAGTGCCAGAGCTCACGTGTCCAGCAGGCTATGGCACCCCTGGTACAAGCGTGGGCCTTTCTTTCGTCACTTATAATCCGCTCGCGTGGCGTGCAAACTTGCTGCGGTGGCTGCAACGGCGCGGCAAGTTTTCTGCGGACACCCGACGCCCTAACTCAAGATTTAGGAGCGTTGCTTTAAGCAAATGTGTTTTTTCGCTTCCACAATACATTTGCGTGCAGGTATATGCACTGATATCACACGCAGAAACTTTCTTGTGACTCGTAGCTTCGCTCTGAACTTTCACTTTACAACCCTTGCAGCACGGCAGTATGGCAAGCTCAACTGGGCAGACAACTGGGTAACCTTCATCGACACCATGCTACAGTTCAGCATCCTAGGCAACCCTGTGCGAACTCTCCGACTGCCGGTGCGGATACAGTCCTGTCGCGTCGACCCTGAAATCCACGCCAAGATCTACGAGAAGGCCGGTGATGCGGGTAATTATACCTTATCGTATTTTCGCAGTTATCATTAAGTTGTGTGCCTCTACGAAAAAAATATATAAGGATGACAAAAACGCTCGGAGCTCGCTCTCTTAACTCTGGTTCAGATTTCAATTGTTTTTATTGATACGAATACGAGAATATGACATGGGTTTAGTATACAAAAGGAGGTCCCAAAGTCAAAGACTGTATCGGGACCTCCTGTTAAAGTCAAATTGTGGTAAAACACTGTTAGAGGCAGCATAAGCAATAATATTAGTTATAAACTACATTAGTTAAGTAAGTTATTTATGTAATAGCACACGTCAGAGGCACTGCTGTTTTTTTTTTTTCAGCTTCCTCTACCTCGCTTTTTATTGGCGTACAAAGAAAGACTCAAGCAGTTAGGATACATGAGAAGAGGAAAACGAGCGTCTATTTACAGGAGATTTGGTGGCACAAAAGGCTAATAGCAACATTATCAGGGTCATATGATTCATGAATAGAGCAGAGCATCAATCATCTCTAGATGGACAAGGACCCCTTCGGAACAAATAGCGCATGACAAGTGCTTATCTCGAGGTATTCGTTCGTTTTGTGTCACTGTTCCCGTCATGCTGCTTCTTTTTAAGTTCTAGACCCATAGTTATTTTTATGAACTTCAAGTACAAAGCATGTCAGACCCTTCGCGCCTCTCGTTCTTAATCTTGAAAACTAATAAACTTCGTTGACTGGCATGTCCACACGTGATAATTGCGTATACAAACTTTCTCTATCAGTGCTGTTAGGCATGCCGTGCTAACGGCAACGACTGATCGCAAGTCAACTAAAATATATAGAACTTGTTCTTCACTATCTCTTCAGTTTAGGTGATTTTGGTTGTCAACATGGACACAATCTTCATTCTCCTGGGATCGTTTCACGGAGGTTGAAGCGTGTTTCATGACAGCTGCTGTACTACAGAACCCTGTCGCGCTTGCTATGATGTGCTCTTTTCAATTTCAGTAGTACAAGGCGACTATAATGGCGTAGTTTGTACCAGAAGAGCAGAATTAGAGAAAGAAGTTTTACTAAAGAAAGGGATATCATCCTGTATGAATTAGCTTCTGTCTTCATTTTTGTAACGTTTTCTTGGCGGTTTTCACATGTTCTCATACAATGTTTTTTTTTCTTATTTAACTGTTCCTCCTCAAAGGCATCGACGTTGTCTACAACCCATACCTCAACACATGCCTTGCTGGTGGCGTTGCCATAACAGGCCTCAAGGCTAGCATCGCCCCAAGGCGTGCCGTGCAGCAAACACCTCTCCTCGAAGATTATCAGTTTGTGTCATACGTAGACGACGAGAAAGCCAGCAGCCAACGCGAATCCCAAATCCGCGAGTACGTTGAGGTGTGCTGCGGTGTCGCCCGGCGTGTCCTCGAGTCCTGCGGCAAGAACAAGGCTCAGATCTCCGACGTCATGAACGGCTTCCGTGAGGCTCCCGAGCAAGTCCTCAACCGATACCTGGAGAACCCCGGCGACAACCACGGCCTCCTCAAGATCCTGGCCACCATCCAGAAGCATACCGATGGCTCTGCCGCGTCTCTCGTTGCCACAGTTCAGTCCGCCCTGGCTGCCCACAAAGAGGACCTAGAACGGGACTTCCTCAACACGGTCCTTTACGAAGAGGACCCGCTGCGGCACCTCTTGGACGTTGTCGTCGAGAACACGAGCACCAAGAAGATCCGCGTCCTCGAACTGGCTGACGGAGGCAGCACGCTGCTGGCGCCGTGGGTCACAGACCTGCTCCGGCTGTCCAACATCCTTCTCAAGACCGACTACACCGTGGCCCACCCAGCTCCAGACAAGATCGCGGCTGAGCTGCTACCCGAGGGAACGAAGACGATCAAGTGGGACTGCACATCGGCCTCCAAGGACGGGCTACCTGAAACTGAACTGATTGTCTTGCGAAGCGTTATCCTTACATCGGGCAGTAGTCTGGAATCCCAGGCTGAGAAACTAAACTCCCTATGCAAGGAGAATGGCTTCGTCCTGCTCGCACAGCGCACGGCCCTTACTCCGGCCGAGATGTTCCTGTCGACCATCAGCAAAGTACCGCTACGTTTCCACACAAGGAAGACCCTGGAAGCTGCATTCCTTGCGAGAGGGTTTCACGTGGTTGGCCTCAAGACCAACAATGTTTGCACGCTTCTGTTGCTCCGAAAGACGACGCCTGTCGATGTCACCAAGCAGGAGGTGATCAGAGTCAAGAACACTGGCTACGACTGGGTCGAGCCTCTCAAAACAAAAATAGCAGAGTTCGAGAACAGGCCTACCGGAGAAAACGTCTGGCTCTTCGGCGAGGATGCGAACATCAGCGGAGTCGTAGGACTGACCAACTGCCTCAGGCAGGAAAGTGGAACTCATGTTAGGTGCATACTCAACGCTAGCGTCAAGGGGTCTAACAAGGTCACTGATTTCAGGCCAAGCAATCCAGAGAACAAGGAGATACTGGAGAAGGACCTTGTCATGAACGTCTACCGCGATGGACAGTGGGGGTCGTACAGGCACATAGTCACGCAGTTCCACGGACCACCGAAAGTTACCACGCCATACGCATTCCTGAATGTGCAGACGCGAGGTGACCTGTCCAGTCTTCAGTGGTACGAGTCACCGCTGCGATACGCTTCGCCATTCACCAGTGCGAATGGCGTCCTTTGCAGCGTCTACTACGCCCCACTCAACTTCCGAGACATTATGCTAGCCACTGGAAAGCTTCCACCAGATGCCTTACCCGGTAAGTAGCTACAATGCTATGCCTCCAGTGCATCTTTCTTTAGATATATAATTCTACAATTAATTTATAACACTGAAAATGCTATTTCATTGTTGGATGAATGCCACAAATTGTCATCTACGCCTAATGATCAAGCATAAGAAGGCAAATAGAAGTGGGTCTTTCCATTAATTGCACTCTTCTGGTGCGGGATGCCTGCAAAATTCGAGCTTAACTGCAACTCTCAATAGACTGTAATATTGCGTACCGACTGTAAGATGAAGAAAAGTTATCGCGTGCCTCAACTATAAATTGTCAGTAATAACTGTTTGCGTTTTACGTTATAAACCTCAGTGTGGTCCCAAGGAAAGTATTAGCTACTCTAAACAAAGCTCAGTCTATCAAGTTACGTCAACTACAGACTGAGTTATACGCTTCTCCTCTTGAGTGTTCTAAATATATAAACGGCATACAGCCAGGCGGCCCTCACTGTGGTAGCCCGCGTTGCACTATACAACACATGCTGTTGCAATGTCCTGCACTGCGCGAGATTCCCAGGTCTCCCTCAATGAAGGAGGACTGGCAATCTCTTCTTACAAGCAACGAGAAAGAAGACCAGCTACGGGCTATCCAGAGAGCCAATGACATCGCCGAGGATGTGCATCTTTCCGTCCCGTCGTGGGTGCGGCCCGCCGATGTCGCCCCTATAAGGGGGCGTGAACGTCGTCTCCGGATCAGGATAAAGTTCTTTGCCTGCCTGCTAGTACAAGGTCCCGTAAATTACGACAACCTGGGTCTCCTCAAAGGGGCGTTGACATGATCACCCAGAAATTCGTGATTTTCAGCAAAAACAATGGGTAGATAGTTCATGAAGCCTATACAGATATGAACAGTGGACTTTCCAGGAATAATTAGGTGTGAAACAAGCAGCAGAAGTCGCCAGCTGTGAACCACGCCCACCACCAGCGACCGCCATTTTGCTTGGCGCGTATGACGTCGTGGGCTGAAAAGAGGGGAGCCGTCATCTTCTAGTGTAGTTCCAGTTGCTGCAAATTATTTCATTTCAGGGCCAAGCAGAAGAAAGCTAAATGATCTTAATTTCCCACGTAGCTGACCACGGAACGATATCCGCCAGGTAGCACATGCTCGCACAGCTAGTTTCTTAATACGTCACGGCTCGCAAATGTACCAATGTTCTCCTACTCACAGGCCACTCGGGCATTTGCAAAAATATTCAATTCCAAATTGTGTGCTCGACGAAATACGCAAAGTTTTTTCAGCTTACTTGTGAATGTGCAAGGATTGACCTGCATAGCAGGTTATGATCGATAATAGGGTGTTACGGCCCTGCACGTTGACCTCTATCCATACAAACTAGCCTGCAGCATTTCATCTCCATCGAAACGTGGCTGCCATGACCAAAATTCAAGCCCACGATCTCCAGAGACTTTCCAATATGAGAGGCTGTTGTAACTCGTAATATAGTTATGCAAATTACGCAGAAATTGCTCGTTTGTTATTGAAATGCTCTCAGAAAAGTTGTGTGTACTGCCCACGTTCAAACAGGCAACCTAGCTACCTCCGACTGCGTCCTCGGTCTGGAGTTCTCCGGCCGCGACCCCAAGGGTCGCCGAGTCATGGGATCCGTGGCCTCCCAAGGCATGGCGACGGCCGTGAACGCCGATCCGGGCTTCCTGTGGGAGGTACCAGAGTCGTGGAGCCTCGAGGAGGCCTCCACGGTTCCAGTGGCCTACTCGACCGCCTACTACGCCCTCGTGGTCCGAGGCAACATGAGGCGTGGAGAATCCCTGCTGGTCCACTCCGGCAGCGGAGGTGTCGGACAGGCCGCCATCTCGATCGCCCTGTCCATGGGCTGCATGGTCTTCACCACAGTGGGTAGGTGCCGAATGCAGTGAAACTCAGACGCATCTCACTTCATCTCTCGTTTTCATGTTTGAAATTGCGTAGAATATTTTACAGCTAAACTAAATTTGTCTACCATGCACGGCTGTCGTCGTCATCGTGGTACTAGCAGAAATAGTAGTCGTAGTAGATGTCTCACATGTAGCGTGATCATGGGAACACAGCACTAGGCAAGTGCTGCGTTTTTGCGCTGTTTATTAACTGGCGCATCTTCACACGCTATTAAGTTAACATATGGTAGTCAGCTACGCCACGGTGGTCTAGTGGCTAGGGTACTCGGCTGCTGACCCGCATGTCAAGAGATCGACTCCCGGCTGCGGCAGCTGCATTTCCGATGGAGGCAGAAATGCTTCTCAGATCCGGGTGCACGTTAAAGAACCCCAGGTGGTAGAAATTTGCGGAGCCCTCCACTACGGCATCTGTCATAATCATATGGTGGTTTTTGGACGTTAAACCCCACTTGCCACACAACATATGAGAGTCATCATAAAGAAATAAAAAGAAATGTTTGTGATGATGATGCTCGGTATGATTATAATGAAGTTTTTTCTCAAGGAGTTCGAATGAATGGCATCAATAATTTTCGAAACGATGATGACTTTCTATACGAAATCTCGAGATATCAATTTGAACTTTTCATATTTAAATTATTTACAGATTTATTATGACTGTAATTGGTTGATTATGGGCAAGTGGACACGTAAGAGAGTCTTGTAATTAGGTAACTGGGCGCAGACACGGTGGAAGTGCGGCTGCACCTGACACAAATCATTTGACGTGACGTGTTTGCTGAGCTTGCAGTCACGTGATCTCTTCAGAAATCGCGTGTGACGAGGCACTCGCTGAAACGTCATTGCCTGAAGCCGCAGTCACGTGACGTATTTGCCAAGTCTCGTGCATGAGCACGTATTTACAATCAATCGGCAAATTGACGTCATCGCGTGATCTCGCTGGTTAATCGTACTCACGCGCTTGCAGGTTCGCGGTCCGACGGTTTTCAAGGCGGGAAAATGACTGAAGCTTTTTTTTAGGCTTCCATGCGCCAGAACCATGGTAGCTACTGCGCCACAGTACAAAACCGACAAGGCCATAAAATGAAAATGAGTGACTGGACATAATAGAAATGCTAATCATTGAAGGAAAGAAGTGTAATTTTGAAGGGTTTCTTTTCTTCTCTATACACAGCATTGCCACAATATTATAATTATTATCATATCATCATTAGCTTTAAACAGTGTTCTGCTTGGAAAGAAACGTTCTCTCTGAATTGGGGGAACTGAAAATGTGGCACAATGTTCCCCCTTTTATTTTTTTCACTTGTTGCACCATGAAGCTAAAGCAAAGGACGCTGTCGTAAAGAAATGCTACAGTAACTAGCCACTGCCAGTTTGACTTTTGATCCGCCAACTCGGAAGTTTTGTAAGTTTTTTTTTTAATGCCAGCGCATTTCTTAATCGAGCTATGTCAGGCATACAGCGTTGTCCGCGGTGCCACTATCTCTCTTCGCTCTTGCTCCCCCTCTCATAACAACGGCTGCGCTCGCTTATCCTCGCAACCAGAGCATGTGGTGCGAGATGGTGGAGGAGAGGGTAGGTGCACTGCTTCGCTGCTCCTTCGTTCGCCGTTCGCTCTCCTCACTGCGCCCCACTTTCCCGTCCACTCGCGCCTCACTCTCTCCCGTTCGCTGGCTGGGCGCCTCTCAAGAACATCCGGAAAAGTGTGCTCGAGACGCCGCTGTGAAATACCAATGCCGAGCCGAGTCCGCTGTTTGTTTTGTTCACTTCGTAGTATTTTAGGGACGAACCTCTTTAAGGCCTGGGTCGTGCATCTCCAAGGAGGACTTAAAAAAATTGCTGCAGTGGAAATGATTGTCCACGAATGAAGCCGCGCCTATAGCAAGATGGCGGCTGCGGCGGCCATCTTACTAGGGTCATGATAAACTCAAGGCGTTTGAAAAATATTGCTGGAGTTGAAGCTCCCGCAATGCCTCTGCCTGCAGTAGTGAAGCCCGTTTTCAGCCTCCAAAATTTGCATAAACATGCTATTTTCTGGTGGTGCCCACTTAGACATCAGGTCGCTTTCATTTGTTAGTCTAAGGGCTTCGTTATTTTAAATTGAAAGACAGTTGTTTCCGAAGAAATAATCCGCAGAGACTAGTATCGGTGACTTAATATCCAATGAAATTTGCCTTGATTTCGAGGCTTACTTATGAAAACGAGTAACACATGGACGTACCTCGAGCCCTATCTCACCCAAAAAGGTTGTCCCGTTAAACTCGTTGGGCGGGCGAGGGCAATGCCCCTTCTGAATCGCCGAACGCCAACAGCTCATCATGCTCTAGTAGGATGGCTGCCGCAGCCGCAACGTTACGGCTGGCACGGCTTCACTCGTGGGCAAGAATTTCCACTCCAGCAATTTTTAAACCTCTTTGGAGGAGTAATACCGTTCAGCAGTTAAGAACGGAGCCTTTCGATCACATGCCAAACGAGTTTAATGTAGAAATATTTTCGGGTCACATAGTGCTTCAAGTGCGTCTTAGTGTCACTAGTTTTCCTAAGTAAGCCCGAGGCAAAATTCTTTGGAGGTTCAGTCTCCTTTCTGTGTGTTATTTCGTCGGTAACAACTATCTTTTAATATGAACTAACGTAGCATTTACATTACCATATCAAAGCCACTTATTATTTAGGTGGACATTACCAGAAAAAAGCATCTTCTGTCATCTTGGCAGTGGCAAAAGCTGGCTTCTCTTCTGCTGGCAAGGCATTGTGGGAGATTCCACTCCAACAATTTTCAGGGGCGAAGCTCCTTAAAGCGGCACCCGTTCGTCCCTCGTCGTAGTCGTAGTGTGTAACCATTCTTACTCTTTGACCTGCAAGGCGGCACCGGTGGGAGATTTCTCCTGTGCGTTGTTGAACATTAAAAAATTCGCAGCGTGCGCGTTAACTAAAAGCCGAATTCTCCTGTCTCTCATTCACAATTAGCAGCCATTGGCATGTACATTGAGCACCATCTGAAAAGAAAGGTTTGCTAGGTTATACTCGGTGGGCGTAACCACCTTGGTTTTAGAAAGGTTTAGCGAGCGTTGGGCCGCAGTGCCATGAATACAGTGAGCTAGTATATACCATGAACTCGAGGTGGTTAAAGGTGGGAAGTAGACAAAAAGCGCAAGCCGTAAGAAAGTGTGTGTGTGCCACCTCTCGTTTAGTCCTTGGAATGTCCGCTAGATAGTGGTGCTTCTATATGCGGAATATATGATGAAAAGTTGCGAGATGGTGGTACTTGGAGTGTTGACTAGATGGACGAACGAACACACAGACATATGCATGGACGGACGCACGGATGGCTGCACGAACGGATGGATAGACGCAGGGGTGGGTGCATGGAGGAACGCAGGGACAGATGCACGGATGGATGTGTGGATGCACGAACAGACGCACGCACGGACAGGCGGATGGACGCACGGATGGTCACACAGACGGACACATGGACGGACGGAAGCAAGAACTAATCTACGGACGGATACTTCGCCCCACTCTATATCTGCATATCCACGGGGTGGATATCCACTGCATATCCACGGGGTGGATATGCTGCCATTTTTCTTAATGCGAAGCATTCTTTGCGAACTTCGGCAACTTTGAGAGTATCTATCTATCTATCTATCTATCTATCTATCTATCTATCTATCTATCTATCTATCTATCTATCTATCTATCTATCCGCTTACGTTTAAATGCTATAGTGGTCACCCCCTCAACATGGCGTGAACAAAAACTAGCATGGGGGGTAAGATGATTTGACGAGTATGATGCGCTGGTCAAGACATAAATAACGAAACAATCACGTCACGCACGTCGTCAAACACTTCCCGCCAGACAGTGGCACATACCCAAGAGCGGGTATGTGCCGCTGCTATGCGTGTATGTGCCACAGATGAATAACAGTATCTACACAGGAACGACGAGAACACACATGGGAAATTTTGACGCACGAGCGTTCAGAAATACCCTAGATTGCTAGCGTCGACCCGACGAATGCAAAGAGTAAATGTCAGGGTCCCAGATGGAATCGAACCCAAGAATTCTGCGTGGCAATGAAGCATTTTACCACAGAGCAACGCCTGGACTCGCAACTACTTTTCAAACAGACGCCGATCTTCGTGAAGCAGCAATAGTGTTTGCAGTGCGGCTTACCCAATTTTATAAACATTACTTATGTACTTCTTTGATACAGCCGTCACGTCGGGTGAACTTTAATTGTGGTTAGTATTCATGCACTGAAGTTGATTTATGTAGCAGTGTTTAGGGCCAGCATCCTCGCGAGCATCAGCACTTCACATCAGCTTTTGGTGTTGCTAATACGCATGTTCCAGTTGCTATCGTTGTGCAAGTGCAAACAACTGGCTATATAAACATCTGCAACTTTTCAGCATATGTCTGTTAAGTATTACTTATATTAAGGTTGCGTAAGCAACACAATATAAGTTGAAATATTTGCCAAACACACAAGCGCCAAAGTGTAAGTATGTGTGGTGCTACTCACCAAAAGGTTTGGTCCCCCACCGCACTAGGGCGGCATATGGCGTGCCCACATGACAACGAAGTGGGACGTATGGGCGAACTGCCTCCCGTCTTGAGTTCACTAGTACTCAAATCATAAACATTTTTTTTCGAAACGCAGTTCGGGATGTCGCTGTTCCGTGAACCCCTTTCACGGCGTGTAATAGTTGTCGACACTGCCTCACTGAAGTGTGGTAGCCTGAACGGTACTGGCTTTATGCTCTCCCATGGTAGCGTGCCAAGTATTCTATATTGTTACTAATTTTTTTCAATCACGTAGCACAATGCACAGAGCACATTTTTGTCGATACGGTATCATCAAGTGTGAGGCCTCCGGGACGACTTTCAGCTCTCCCATAGCAAAGTACTGAGTACTCTAAATTGTTAACCACTTTTTCTAAACAGATGGCCGCT